CTTTTTTTAGAATTTTCCTAAGATTGAGCCTTTCATTTAATTTCTCTCCAAAATTTAAAAAGCAAAATAGGCAAAACGTACCCAATTCAATTATGTAGTCCCTCTAAATGGTTGTGTAATGTCAAATATAGGAAAAAAAGATTAATAGTAGAAAACCTTCCTAAAAACGTTTTCATTTGCGATATACCCCCACCTATTGAAAATCGCAAAAAACCCATGTTTGAAACATTTTGTGCAAAAAATTCCCTACCGTCAACATCCGTCAAATTTGCCGTTAAAAAAGTAAAGAATGCCAAAATTAAAAATGAATAATTAAACATAAGAATTAAAACCCAATAAATCACATAATAATCATCACGACATATATTCTACTTCATAATACAAATCCATCACTGAAACCACATACATGAAAAGAAGCATAAACAAGGGAATAATAACTCGAGATCCAACTCGGAAGAGTACGAAAACCGAGAAGAGGAGAGGTCACGATGAAGGGGCTAGAAACTGGCAAAGAGAGCGCATCTACTTTATCTAGTGAAGGCTTCGATGCTTGAGCAGAGACAATGGTAGCAACGACGGAGAAAGCCACAAGGGCGTATGCTAGCAAGGAGGCCTTCAAAATGCTAAATTGCGCCATAGGATGGGAAAATCCCTACTATATTAGAAGAGTGAATCCGCCGAATACTGTTCATTTTGAAGCATTTTCGTTAGCCCAAATTGCCCCATATCCATCCTCTACTATTTATACCAACCGTCCCATATTTGTCTTCCACTATTCACACGTGGGTTAAGGGTAATTTGGAAAGATAATGTTTTAATCAATTTATATGCCTACAATTGTTGACTTTGAATGTCGAGAAAAAAAAATAAAATAATTCGTTTGCTCCGCACTATGCGGAGTTGATGCTCCGCACGGTGTGCGGTGAGCAATGCTGCGCACAATGCGGAGCTCTGCGGAGCATTGACCTCAATCCTTCCCTTTTCTCTTAAAAGAGGGAACCTTCACATTTTAACTGATTTTTCTACAGTGGAACTGGCTTTTCTACGGTCCAACCGACTATAAAATATCATGTTTCTTCCATGCAAATGTATTGCATTGATTATCAATCGACTATAAAATATCCTATTTGTGTCATGCATATATAAGGTATTGCAATCTTTCTTATAATATAACTTTCTCACAAATCGCGACAATCAATTTTACGTTCCTCTATATTTCCTAGTCTCCGGTTGCCTATAATATTGTTGCCAAATCAAAAATGGTATATAATTTCATTTCAACCATCAAATAAATTATTATCTTTATCAACTCAGAAATCAAAGAGAAGAAACGGAATTTGAGACTGAACGACGTGAGTCAATTAGAACAAATGTGAGTTTCTGCTGTATTTTTTGTTTTC